CACCTTTGTTCCTTCCTGGAGTCGTCTTATGTTGAAAAGTCCCTTCATCTTGTACTGGATGTCCACCCCGCCGACTAAATTGGCACTGGCACTAGTAAGGGAGGCAGCAAAGAAAATGGAAGAGAGAGTTAATTGGTGCCAGTACACATCCTTGTCTTACCCCCATTTGGATGGGAAGGAATTCAGATAGGGTGCCACTGTGCAGGACACTGTCGTTCATGTCATTGTGGTGTTGCCTCACTTTGGCGATGAAGTTTCTTGGGCAACCAAAGCGACTGTGGTCCCGCCAGAGGGTTTCCTGTTGACAGAGTCGAAGGCCTTAGTAAGGTTGATGAAGACCATCTACAAGTAACGTTGCTGTTTTCTGCACTTTTCCTGTATCTGGCGGGCAGTAAAGATCATGTCAGTGGGTCCACGTGATTATCTAAGGCCACATTGAGATTCTGGGAAGACGTTTTCCGCCTCAGAAAGTAGTCTGTTTAGGAGGACTCGGGCGATAATCATGTTAGGTCTGAATAGGGGCGAGATCCCGCGGTAGTTGCCACAGTCTGACCGGTCTCCCTTGTTCTTATAAATATTGATGATGGAGGCGTCTTTAAGATCTCGGGTGATTTCCTCCTTTTCCCAGTCTCCAGGAAAGAGTGGAGACAGTTGGTAAGCAGAGGTCTTCCTGCTTTATACGCCTCGGCTAGGTTTCTCTCAGGCCATGTGGCTTTGTTACTTTTCATCTGCTTGATGGAAATAACTACTGTACTTCGTTACGGGATGGAGGATAGCTGAGCTGGTTAATCTCCAGGTAGTGAGGGACAAGATGGATAGTCAGGACAATCACATCGGTGTTTCAAGTCGATCGAATTACACAAGCATTCCACGGTATGCAGATGAGGTCAGGTAAAATTCAATACTACTTAATCTGTACCTGTTTTCAATATGGCTCCTTACTGTGTGTACCTGTGTGTGACACTGATGTCATTCGAGTGAGCAAGATCTGCTTTGTATGTTGTTTCGTCTGTGTGTGTTATATTTGGATGTGTTTCTGTAGTTCAGTCGTTATTATTATTGTCATTTGTTATTATTATCATTATTAATTATTTGTGTTGTCATTCATATTATCACATCTTTTATTTGTTACTTCTTACACGCAACACAATTAATACACAATACGGCTGTAAATAAGTAACAGCAAATAGGTAAGATAGTTTTTCAGTGAAGTTAAACTAAGGAAACTAATCATTTTTGCTCGTGCGTTTAGTAAAACATAATTAAGAATATTAATATCTTGATTCATAATTTTGGTTTACTTAAAGTATGATATCTTGCTTAATATTATACTTACAAACAGGAGAAGTGTTCGTATAGTGTAATAATTAATATTCATTCAACAAAGGTTTATATCTCATGCCCCCAACTATTTTATACAGTAGTAATTAGTTAATTATATTCCTTTATCTAAGAGGAGGAAAATGTTGTTATACAGGTTTCGTTTTCCATCACATACTGAGTAGAGAATCTATGAGATGTTTTGTTGTCCTAACTTAGCGAGAGAGAGAGAGAGAGAGAGAGAGAGAGAGAGAGAGAGAGTGAGAGATTGTAAATGCTTATCATATGATATCTCCAAGAATTATGAATTAAATTATCTACACTACTCTATTGCACTGTTTGCTTTTGGCAAATTTCATGTAAAATAGCTAAGTCTGCTCAGCTTCTTGTTTTGTAAAACAGAAATAATTATACCTTACAAGATGCATCATTTTACGCCCTTCTTCCTCTGCCTCCTCCATACAAACAAAGACCTACACACATGACCAATAAGCAAAAGGAAAAATCTTAATCGTGTAAGACATGGTGGTGCAATAAAGAGCAATGTTGATTTTGATTATATTTATTAACACTTAGTGCCTGACACAAGGCAGTACGTAGATTTGACCTTGTGTCTGTAAATGTCACGAGGACTCACATCACTGACCGTATGGGCGACCGTATGAGCCACGATGGCCTCTGGTGGAACCCCTTTGACCACCAAAGGAACCCCTTTGACCACCGAAGGAGCCTCCTTGACCACCGAAGGATCCCCCACGACCACTGTGGGAACCCCCTTGACCACCGAAGGAGCCCCCTTGACCACCGAAGGAACCCCCTTGACCACCGAAGGAACCACTTCGACCACCGACAGATCCATAACTACCAGCCGAGCCACTATGACCGAGGGAGCCACCAGTGGATCCAGAAAATCCACCAGTGGATCCACCGCCACTACCAGATGAGATGGCTCCTGACCCGTGTCCTAAAGAACCTCCTGTGAAGCCGTGGCTCCCACTGGAGCCACCATGACCACCGCTGGAGCCGCCACCGGAGTATGAACCGCCGTTGAACCCACGACGACCGCCACCAGAGCCTCCTCCGTGAGCTCCACGTGAAAAGCTGCTGCCATGGTGGGACCCGCCATCTGCCGTGCAGGAGCCCAACAGGAGACCAACACTCACGGTGATCATCAACAGTTTCTGAGGGAGGAAGACTCAAATTATTAAAGAATTATGATCAGCCAACGGAAATAATACTTTAAGGAAACGTGAACACATTTAATCGAAGAGAAAAGTTGTATATAAACAATATACAAAGTAGGAGAGAACGTCTTACCATAGTTGTCGGTGGTGTAGAACTGACTGGCTTCCATGTGAGTGTTGGGGTCTTATATACTTCCCCGAGTCCTGTACCCCAGGCTGTATTCAAGGTCACATTACAGTTTCTACCCATGACTAGTACATAAAAATAATATATTCTTTATGTTCGAGTTAATATTAGTTGAGTTTAACGTGGGTGATCACTTCAAGGATAACTCTTTTGTTTGTGTGTAGCTCTGGGGTATATATTCTGTGGTCAACTGTACAGTATGTCACGAGGAATGACTCTGTTGTAACATGACTTATGTCGCCTTAAATACTGTACATCATCAGTTCTGGGTTTATCTTATAGTTTTCTTTGTTTTTATTTACTTATTTAGCTTTTTTTTTAATTATACGTACGGGTACTGGAATGGATGTAGAGATTTTTAAATTAGGAACCTACTCTGATTGAGACGTGTAATCCGCCATCCAGGATTTATCTGTTAATGGCATTTTATCTGTTACCGGACACTTTGGTTATGCCGGAAATATTATGTTCGTGATTAGTTACGGCTAGTTAGAGGTTTCCCAAAGAGAGAAATACATAGAAGTCTTCGTTAATAAGCAATTGTCTCTATACAGGGGGTATAGTGCAATAATTCGCCTATAACAGATTCACTAAATATTATAAGAGGAAACGTTACCAAGTCAAAAGACATCATGACCTTAAACCAACATAATCATTGGCTGAACAATCTCACATTACTAAAATTACCATAATACAAAACATCAAACCTGAAGTCATCAGATGGAACCAGGATGGGATTCGGGTTTCGGCCTTTGACAGTGATCCTTTAAAGGACGAAACCTCTGATTCATTTTATGGAAGGTATCAAAATCGTTCTGCACAAGAGTATCAATACAAGTAGCTATTGGAGCCTTGTCAACGGGGAACTAAGTCCACACTCTATTTGTGGAATACTTGATAAAAATTCTGTATATGGCATCATTCAAGTAAACTGAGACGATAGTTGTCTTAAGAGAATCATAGCCACCTGCTGTAAATGATAACGTTGTTCTCTGTCCCTCACAGTCCTTAGTTCTCTCTTTCTCTCTCTCTCTCTCTTTCTCTCTCTGGAACAACTTAATTGTTGAAGACAATTTGGTTCACTAATGCACTACACAATAGTTATTGATTGTTAATGTTAAGTTGCCACCTGCCGTCGTCTTCTTAATTTTGTGTGACCACAATTTATTCGACTAAGTGATTATGTTCGTAAAAAAATCGACGATACTTTTTAAATAAGTGTATAACAATTGACTTACAATTAACTTTTATGAGTGAAATAACACACACACACACACACACGCACACACACACACACACACACACACACACACACACACACACACACACACACTCAGACACACAGACACACGGACACATACACCTATTTCGTGTTTTTTTATTTCCTCGTGTGCTTTGTATCTTATCTATGATTGTCTTGAGGTTATTAACATTTGTAATGGATCAGATAATTTGTAAATACAGCATCTATTACGGTAACATCATGTTATCTATACACATAGTCAATTTTACTATGAATTTCTTTTAAAACTAAACCATGGTGGCTGTTCAATCCCTTAGTTATTTATACATTTAGTGTCCGTAGTTTAGGTTAGTTTAGTTTAGTTTATGCTAGGATAGGTTAAATTTAGGTTAGGTTAGGTTAGATTAGGATAAGTTAAGGATAAGTTAAGGTAAGGTTGGCCTTTGGTTAGATTTGGTTAGGATAGGTTAAATTTAGGTTAGGTTAGGTTAGATTAGGATAAGTTAAGGATAAGTTAAGGTAAGGTTGGCCTTTGGTTAGATTTGGTTAGGATAGGTTAAGTTTAGGTTAGGTTTTGTTGGTAGTTATTTATATTAGAAAGAAGTTCACGGCAATATAGTGTATTAGTTTATAGCCAAATTTCTACAATTTTATATTAATATCATTGTTTATATAATTATTTAAGTACTATATTTTGGGGGAGATGGACTAATGGAACCAAAACTTTCCTTATTATATCTTGATAACTTTAGCAAATCACAGAGGGAACGAAACTTGTGTGTCGTCTGAAGGAAGAGTTATCATCAGCACAAATTATAAAGTAAACTATTAATTCTATAACTCCAGAACATGTGGGTGTGAACTGTAATGCAGTTTCTTATTTAATTCGATATATAGATAAATAATTTATAATATGTAGCAGATACTATACAAGCTACTACCAATAAATTAAAACATACACAGGACAGTTCAATAAATAATACAGTATATCAATATGTCATATATAAAAGAAAGAAAAGACACCTTAATATTTTTTTTCACAGTCGTAGGATAATTAGAATACGTATTTTATGTATTTCTTTTTATTTATGCTCTATTTCTATTACAGAAAGATAAGTGGGTTTGGTCATGTTACAGCGTTATGTGTAAGTCAGATCAGCCGCCGTAACTACCGCCACTGATGGAACCGCCACGACTACCGGGGAAGCCACCTTGGCCACCGAATGATCCAGCATGTCCACCAACAGAGCCCCTTTGGCCACCGGAGGAACCACCCCTAGAGGAGCCATAAGCCCCTGATCCTCCGCTTTGGCTGATGGCGTTACCTGCAGAGGAACTGGCAAACCTTCCACGGCCTCCTGTGAAAGAGCCTCCAGCAGAACCACCGTTGTAGGATCCACCGCCACCGCCAGATGAAAAGCCTCCTGACCCACGTCCTGAGGAACCTCCGGTGAAGCCGTTGCCCCCACTAGATCCAACGAATCCATGACCACCTCCGGAGCTGCCCCCGGCGTATGAACCGCCGTTGAACCCACGACGACCGCCACTAGAACTGCCTCCTCCGTGTGCCCCACGTGAAAAGGAGCTACCTGCAGAGCCATGGTGGGAGCCACCATCTGCCGTGCAGGAGCCCAACAGTAGACCAACACTCACGGTGATCATCAGCAGCTTCTGGGGGAGGAAGACTCTGGTTAGAGAAGAATGATAAGCGAGAATTATAATATCTATAATGAATGCAATTCAAATAATATTATCTTCAACAACAGAGCTTAAAAGAATTTTCTGAAACAGAAACAAAGAATCTTGAACAGCCTATTGCGAAAGAAGGTCTGACCATGTTAGCAGGTCGTTGGTGGTTGGAGACTGACTTGCTGTGCTGTGGGCGTTGGGGCCTTATATACCTGTTCGCCTGCTGTTCCTTAATGTTAGCCTCAAGGTAATAACACTTTTCCCATATGACGAAAAAGATTTCTCCTCTCTTCCAAAGTCATGTTGCGTAAACCTATATAGTACGATAACAATGATGAGCACTTCACTGCTACTTTTTTTACGGCTGTGACTTTGTGAGGCTCATGTTCATTGGCTAACTGTATCGTGAATCACGAGAATTGATCCCGTTGTGATAAAGATTTTTCACTCATGAAAATATGTATTCTTGGTTTTATCATTCAAGGAAACATATTATAGAGCCGCCTATTTATCATGACTGCCTTATAAGGGTCACTTTCTCCGTCATCTTACTCTATTGACATAGTTGTTGTCGTCGTCACAGGGTATTCATAATGCTCCGACATACCAGCTATCAAAATTTACCTGCTATTTTGCAGTGAAATTCTTTTTGTATTTAAATGAACGATCTAAAAGAACTCGTCAAGCTAAACTATTTTGCAAGATCCCTTATGTTAGGGTAGGTGGGATAGGTTAGGTTAGGTTTGGTTAGGTTAGGTTAGGTTAGGTTTGGTTTATAGCACAACAGCACTGTCTCTTTAGGAGGAGGAGGAGGAGGAATAAGACATGTATTCTAATGTTCAAAGTTAACATTCGCTTTCTCTATATTACAGGATATTAATTACAACCCAAACTCACAATGTTAATCTTATAGGCCACACGTAATATCACAATTATATCAATGTCGTAAATTCTACCCTCAAGTATGAAAGTTAATTTAATTTATTTTATTTTATGAGTAAGTTCGAGTTATACATATATTCACTATTTCTTTTCATCACAACTTCTCATATAAACAAAACCAACACGACTTTAATACTTTGGCTAAAATTTTGGATATTAGTGAGAATAAATTATAGTAGTGATCTAAGAATACATTTTGTCATTACACTTTGATAAAGGTGTCGACATCTGTTAAAGCTTTGTTAGTTTCTTGTTATTTATACCTGGAGTGATATTGTGGTAAAGGATTTCAACAAGTGGCTCTTTCTTAGGTTCAGTGCAGTTCTTTGGTGTTTGTGCTTATAATGAACTCAGCATTTTTATTGAACAAATGAAGACAGACACTTCAAAGGAAAGTCTTTATATTACGTCACTAGAGTGTTGAGAAGTCTCCAGTTGGAACGTTTCACCATATTCTCTCTCTCTCTCTCTCTCTCTCTCTCTCTCTCTCTCTCTCTCTCTCTCTCTCTCTCTCTCTCTGGTGTTAAAAAGAACACAAAGGAGCGGTGAAAAATAAGGTCGGTTAATATGATAAGACAGAAATCCTATTCCACTTATTTTTCATCAAATTTTTCAGCATGTAATTTATTTTCAGAAAAATTTTATCGGAATTAAATAATCTTTTCCTTACGGGTTTAGAATAAACTAATATATATAGAGAGAAAATTTAGTATTGACCGGCGTATGGTTTACACCCTTGATCAAATGGTGGAAACTTGTATTGTGAAGGATTACATTAAAATATGAACTGAAAGACGAAATAAAGATTATTAGGTTATGAATAAATAAAGATATGTAGTTCATTATAAGATCCCTAAGATGTGTGTGTGTGTGTGTGTGTGTGTGTGTGTGTGTGTGTGTGTGTGTGTAAAATCAATCTACTATGGTTTTTTCCTGTGTATTTTCGGGAGAATCTTAGTCATTTTCTTCACTTCATTATCTGGGAGGAAACCTTTTTTTTAATATCTGTTTTACATCAAAAGTGTAATAAATGGAGTTAATTTGATGCCTTCATTTATTTAATGCATCATCATTTCAGAATAAAATGATAACTTCTCATGTAATTAAAAAATGTCTTAATTCAGTGTTCAGTCTCAGCTAGTTTAAGGTACGGGTTCCAAATTTATTTTTATCTATAAAAGACGCTATACAGGTTTCTTAGGGTAAATATAAAGAAACCTCATTCATAAACACCATAGGTTACTACTTCTAACATTACTCAATGACTGTTCAAAAGGAAGCTAATTAAAATATGATTCATTCTGCATCTCTTTTTATTTAGGTTCTTTCTATTCATTGTATAAAGGAATTAGAGGATATCATTATACTTCATCGTTACTTCTATGGATGTCAGCTCAGCGGCCCCCATAGCTGCCAGAGGAACCTCGACTTCTGTAGCCGCCACCCTGACCACCGAAGGAACTACCAGAAGAACCAAATGATCCCCCTTGGCCACCGGAGGAACCACCCTGAACCCCTGTGGAACCATACCCTCGTGATCCACCCCCGGAGGATATAAAGTTATTAGCTCCCGATGAACCTGGAAATCCTCCACGGCCTCCTGTGAAAGAACCTCCAACAGACCCTCCGTTATAGGATCCACCGCTACTGCCAGATGAAAAGCCTCCTGAGGAACCTCCGGTGAAGCCCTGGCCCCCACTGGAACCTCCGATGAACCCTTGACCGCCTCCAATTACACCATGAGAGCCGCCCCTGGAGTATGAACCGCCGTTGAACCCACGACTACCGCCACCGCCAGAACCGCCTCCTCCGTGGGTTCCACGTGAAAAGCTGCCACCTGCAGGGCCATAGCTGGAGCCGCCATCTGCCGTGCAAGAGCCCAACAGGAGACCAACACTCACGGTGATCATCAACAGCTTCTGGAGGAGGAAGAATTCGGTTAGAGAAGAATGACATACATCAAATCTAATGAAAATCACATGAAAAACGAAGATAAATATTCATTCAGCATTCAAATCTAGAGACCCTTGTGTAGGTGAAAATTGAGTTTACAGAAGAGTAAGTGAAGAGAGAAAGACTAACCATTGTAGCAAGTCGTTGGTGGTTAAAGACTGACTTGCTGTTTTGCACCCGTTGGAGTCTATATATACTTCCCAACATCCTGTTCCCTGTTGCTCACCACAAGGTCATAACATATGTTTGTCATAAAGACGAGAGCAGAATATAATTTACTAAATGTCAAGATCTCCATTTGCAAATATAACAACAGGACGTACTGAAGGATTAATATTTTCCATAACATCCCCTTGACGTTTAAGATAGGTTGCCAGAGTGGAAATGTACGAGTAATAGTAATTTTTTCTTGATAAATAGAAATCGATCCATACCTTTCAAAAGCTCAATGTTATCTTTTGTAAGTCAAGTATTAGGTACTTACGGAGATGTGTTTCGTGAGAGCCCTGAACACTGTTAAGGATGGTCGGCGGTTTTGTCTGCCAAGAAGATTTATGACGCTGCATGATATTAAGCAGACCTCGCGGACAGTATGCTTGACGGGTTTCTTTTTCATTCTTATATTTTTTCGTTTTGCATTTTACTTTTATTTATGTAATTGGTAAGATAGTTCCAAAACAGCTCGTCATCTCATACATGAATCTAAACTGTAACATTAATACACAAACCGTAATACTAATCTGATATTTATATCTTTGTAACATAATTTATGATAGCTAATATGATTTCATTCTCTGATATTATTTAATACTAATTTAGAATATTGTTCAGGCTAAAAAGGCCAAGGAAAGGAGTCCTTTCGATGTAATTAAAGGAAAATCGTGTTTTTCAATGTAAAATTACCGACCAGTTCGTTTTCATTTGGCATAATGCACTATACAAGTTCCTTGGGGATAAACTCCTCAGGAACGAATGAGGCATATGTGACCTCTCTTGCCACATCTCTCTCATATCTTGGGTGCTACTTCTCGTGATGCTCAACCTTAAGTACAGTAGTAAAGATTATTTCACCTGTAATAGATTTTTATATGAGACTGATAAAGAGTTGTGGATCAGGGATAGACTCAACAACAAGGTCCTGTATGTATATATTACGTATTTAGCTATGTTTGTATTTTCTTCTCATTGAGGTGTGCTTGTCTGAATGTATTAAGTCATAAAATAATAACAAAATACATAGCCTCTACACCTGTGATAACAGTTCACAGTTGTACATACCTCGATGCTCGCCACAGTAACATTCATTAAGCATAATATTTACTCTCCGTGTCTCGTTCTTCTCGTTCTTCTATTGTACAATCCTCTCAATAACATTTTATAATTATATTTATATTATTACAATAAAATGCATTGACATAATTGATGGATATGTTGAACTGAAAAATGAAACAAAATGAAAACTTTTTTCTTCCCTACAAACAGTTGTAATTGCTAACTCTCTCTCTTGTCTGTGTGTCGATGTTTTCTTTTTGTTTCTTTGACTATTTTATTCAACTGTCTGTGAGTCTATGTTTCTTTATTTATTTTTGTTTCTTTATTTATTTTTTTATCTATCTGTCTATCGATCGTAAAAATGCTTCGCTCAAAAGTGAAAGTGGTATGTCATAAGCCCCGGATACTGTCCGATGGTATTATGACTCCTTAGACACAAATACGAGTCCATTTTTTGTTTGTTTTTACTTCCTTTTCAAACAACATCGTTATCTGCCTCATTGCGTTTTACGATTATTTGAAAATTCCTGCTTATGATATCTTAAACCTTAAGTTACGGTCGTCTGAGAAGCTACAGTACAATTTACGCACAGCTGCTCTTAATACTAAAATTTCGTGCCCGTCTAAAACAAACTTTCACATCACAAAATAATTCCTGAAATATCCCAAGATTTTGCCAGTCATTAAAAATTGCCTTGAAATTGAGAGTCAGAAATTACAGAAACTGCAGATCTATCAAATTGCAATGGAGTGTAATCTTTAACCACAGACTGTAGGCTAAATGTTCCTCTATCATATTTGTTAAACTACGTGATAAAATTCTTCTATATTTCAAGTGTAAAACATTGTAACATCATCATAATTCTCCATTCATACTCCTATTGAAGATCATAAAGTAAAGAGACTCAAAGATGGTAAACTTTTTTCGCAACGTATTTATATTCCTGTCATGCCTTATGTGGTAATGAGAATCCCGCTTGGTCATGGTGAACACAACAGCAGGGAATAATACACAACGCTCCAGGAATGAGGTCGTGTGGTGGCAACTATTTGAACAAACACATAGGAGCGACTTAGGTTCAGAATGAAAACTAAATGTCTCCTTTACATGGTTGAGGTTTCTTATGACCGCTGTATGTTCGTAAGTGAAAATTGTATTAAAAAAAATACAGTGATTTGCATGATTTTCCTTTCCGTAAGTAATGAAGGGCCGTTCTAACTCTCTATTGCATATTTGGTGTTCCTTCACGTACTTGCAACATACCCCAAGTGTAAAGACCATTTCAATGAATGGCGTCAGTTATCATAATATCCTTGTCAACATGCAGAAAAGCAACGTTTTTCAATTGTAAAATAGCACTCAATTTGCCATTAAAAGACAGCAACTCATCCCGGATTCTTGAAGACGTGTATGTCAATAACACCTATTTGTGGTTCCGTAATTTCAACACTGTTTAGGCTTTATTGTATAGCTAAAATCAATCAGCTAATTCAATACCCTACGAATCATTGCCAGTGGAGACCCAGGAATTGGCTTCTCAAAGACTCACAATACTTTTTTCAATTAGGGATTAGGAATTAAGGACTGGGAACAAAAATGATAACGATTAACTTAAGATACAACACAAATATCTCTATTAATATGAATTCGAATAACATTCATACTCAATTTGTCTTAATATCCAAGAATAAACAAAAGATTCACGTAACTAGTTTCTAAAGAACAAAGACCAGGAGGAGTTTTGCCTCACAATAGCTCGAGTCGACTGTAAAAAGCTGGTGAATCGACCCAAGCGAAGAGGAAACTCGTGGCAAACAATCTTGGAGGAGCGAGGAACTTGAGGAACACAGTACAGTACGAATAAACACAGGAAGGTCCAGGGTATATTCTTCCTCATGGTCTCGAGTGATAGTTGCTGTCTGTATATCTGTCTTTCTGTTTCTCCGTATACATGTATTCATTTATAGTATCCCATTTCTAGCCTATATCAGGTCAGTGTCAGGTAACTATATTCTAAATTCTGCCCTTTGAGGTGTGCGCCAGGTGGCATTATCCTGTTAATTTCCTCGATTATTTACGTTTTTTGTTATCCCTGTGTACTATTGTTTGTCCTCAGGAAAACAAAGATATTAACAATATCCAGAGAAGATTAACTAGAGAGTTTGTGGAGCCATTGTGCCCCTAAATTACCAATGTAAATGTTTACATATAAATCTGTGTGTTTTAACATGCAGTAAAAACGGTGTTTTCTGCTTTAGTAATTTCCTACGTCCTTGCTTGTTCTTTGTAATTTTTTTTAAATAAATGTAGAGTTATGGATCATCTTCGAAAATATTTTGTGATATAAATAATAAGTTGTAATTAACCTCTAAAGGCGGGATATTAATCATCCTAATTGTATCGTGTACTTTTGTTTTCCGGCGGCAACTTTGATGACGTAAATAATGTTTTTTTGTCTTAGTTCCTGCGTTTGTTGTACAGTCTCACCCAAAAGTTCGTTAACTCTCCCAGCCAACTATTGCTGCACTGCCTACTTCAGATGTTTGACACTGCCTCAGTACCAACCACAACATGAAATCGATAAGAGAGTTAACGAACTTTTGGGTGAGACTATACCATAACAGGAGACAACGGGTATGGATAAAAGGATGAACACACACACACACGCACGTCACGGTAAGATTGTGAAACCAGTCACTTTGTGAAATTCCTGGAAATTTCACCAAATTGTTAAGACTGTTATATCATTTATTCCTCGCTTCCTAATACACGTACACAAGAAGCACTAAGTTTACCTACAGTCTATATAACACATTGGTATTACAAAACTGTAGTGAATCACAAGAGTCCCAAGGATAATGTTATAATATATAGTTTGCGTATCACGTTGTCTAGGTGGTGATCTATGTTCAGTGCCGGATTTAGACCTGTGGAGGCCCATGGGCAGCCTCTTTGTGGAGGCCCCCCTCATTATAACTACCCAAGAGGGAGGGGTGGCGAGTGAAGCGAGCCTAAACATCTGGGAGTTCTGGGGGGCGCTGTAAGCCCCCCGGGAAAATTTTGAAATTTGAACACTTCTTTGGAGAATTTTGAAGCCATATGCAGTTATATTGAGGAAATTAGAACATTGAGAAATTTTTAATTAACTGTATATTTATTGATAGTGTACAAATTCCAAGCACACACACACAAGAATGAAAATAAAAATAATCCAAATGAATAAACAAATAAATAGAATAATGTAATATGTGGAGGCCCCTGGGCAGCTGGCCACTTTGCCCACTCCTGTATCCGGCCCTCTCTGTGTTGGTGTCTCTGCCTGGTGGACGTCTTCGAAAGCATTGAATTGAAAAAGAAAAACATCTCTTTTGTCATTTGCTAATGATAGGAGGATATATATAGTTGTGTTTCATCTCATTATCAGTTTTCTTTTTGCTGTGTTCAGTCAATAAGCTGATTTAAACAAATTAAGAATGTTTTTTTTAGTTTCTTCATAGTTGACGGACAGTTTGAAACACTGATGAGGACAGAGTTTGGACGTATTGTTTCAGAGGTTCATAACCAGCGGTGACTGTGTTCGTTACACTAAACTCATTCATATGGGATAATAATCTTTATAATTAAAAGAGTAAAGGCTTCTTATGAGCACAGAATAATTTATGTTGACAAATAAATAAGTAATAACATGGGTCCTACAGCGAATCACGTATTTGGTAAATTCAGATAGAGATACTGTACAATCGTAGTCTTCTCACAGTAATGAGACAGGTTCAATTCAGTCCCATGAAGTTCCGACTGCTTTGAGATGCTTTATGAATCAGTGTCATGAACCGCGACGGTCACTTTCGTTGCTACTTTTGTTGTGTTAAGAAGTGTCACAGTGA